GGGAAAGAGCAAAAGGAGAAGAGGAGAAAAACAAAAAAGAGAGAAAGGAAAGTCCTGTGGATTTCCTTCCTGGCTTCAGTATTGCTGCTTGGTAACAGACAGAATACATCAATAAAGATTTAATAATTCTTTTAAGTCATGTTCATTGAACACGTATCCTATACTTGAAATACTGACTCTTACCAGCTCATGCATGGGGAAAGACTTAGTGCAATATGTGGTAGTAATCAGTGAGATCACTGTGGAAGTCTAAAATAGTTCCTTATACAGCTAAAATAACGACCTACCATTCAATATCTATTAAAAAATACATATGTTCTGCTGATTCTCTGAAAGCAGTCACCTGGCAATTAACTATGAACCAGGAATATAGAACTGCTCATTTCCCACATAAGTATTTCAAATCATGAGGCCACAGATTCAATGCATTTGGCATCAACAATTCCCACTGCTCTCCGTATTCTTCATGGATAATAGAAAAATTTTACCATTATTGATGTGTGCAAGTACTCGCTGTGCTGTTTTGAAGATCTGGCATCAAGTCCCTACAGTTCCTCCAAGATCTGTAGCAGCACTGTGGAGAACAATGGTAGCTAATAATATCACACAGGTAAGGCACAACTTAACTCTAAAGTGAGGCTTATTTCATTACAAAAGCTATAACACACCCCGTGCTTTTATGCTCCCGCACTTGCTCACAGTGAGTGTGAATGGCAGGTCATACCACAAATAATTCCATGAAGTCCAAAAAAAAGTCCAAAAAAGTTCCCCAAGGCCAACTGCTTCTTATGGCAGAATCTGACCTGCAGTAAATAGACTTGGAGATCCAAAAAAGTTGTTACTTCCCCTTCAAAACACTAAGATAGATAACAGATATGACAAAATCTCACAGTCGACTCATTCAGGTATATAAACTTTAGAAAATCTCTAAGGCAAGATGTTCATTTCTCTGGTCAATGAATACAAGGCTTTGTATGCAAGAAGTGAAAATTAACTGTTATCTCACCTAAGAAAATATGTAAGCTATGGAACAATAAATAGTGACATTTATGAACTGGAACACAGTATCAGACTAATCGCTTTATAATATCATTCATTATTTGACACTAAACTGCTATTTTGGCAGTTACACAAAATTAAGTCTCTGCTAGATAGTATATATCTGATTACTTAATATCCTGTTCTATTATGTTCTTTCATACTACTGCAGTTTCAAAGTCTGCTTCTATGCTTCACTTGACTCTTTTTCCCAGTTTATGTCCACTAACATACACATTGAAACCAGCCTTTCCAGCCAATTAGTACTGGGTTTTCCTTGTAAAATAGCCTATAACCTTGTAACATTTTTCTGTACTGAATTCTGTTACAGAACAATATGTAACCCTGTAATGAATTTCAACTGAATCAATCAAGATGGCTAGAAAAGTTATTCAACTTCAGTTTTAAATTTTCCTTAATCAGAAAAACTGACAGTAAGCTTGCAAATTTTCTATGAACATAAGAAAAAAAGTTTAAATAAGTCACCAAAATTTTCTCAGGTTTACAGGTTTAACTCTGGCTTGGTTTAATTTTTCAAAACAAAAAGACCTTTGAAAGATTATAATAAAATATTCCTTCTTTTTTTGGCACATTCTGTTTCATTTCTTGAGACAACCACAGAGAGAGACCTGAGGCATAAGACTAGAAAGATACTAAGTGTTTTCACAACAGATTTACATTTTCTTTGTGGTGGCATTTTAATTTTTTGCTTACCTTCAGTTTTCACACTGGGTGAAATTCATCCAAAAAATCCTGTCATGGTGAAGATTTTTGGAGTATGTCACTGGAGATATTTAAAACTGACTACCTGCTTTTCTTCACTTGGTCTCTCCAGACTCACCGTGGTGTGCTGTGACTTTAGGAGGGCTCTGTTGTGCCACCAGACAACACGTTTGGCCCAAGTACAGATGTAATAGTCCCTAAGGTTTTAGGAGATTGAACCTGGTTAAAAATAGACAAAGTATTAGAGGGTGGAAGTGTAAATCATAATGTCTTGTTCAGAAGGACAAGATATGCTTTGACCCAGGTGAAAGGGGTGGTAGACCTGTCTTCTGCAGCATTCCTCAGAGCACTTACCTTCTGCAGGACATTTCCGATGGAGAGCAGCATCTAAAACACTGTCCTCAGAACTGCTTACTTACATTTTTCATTCAAGCAGGTGTGGTTTCATGACCTTCACTCTACTCTTATGTTCATTTAATGACAAGTGACTCCAGAAATGCAAACCAACAGATCTTCAGACAAAGAAAAGTGCCTCAGACCCCTCTACTCCAGTGGCTGACAATTTGCCTTGAAATACCTTTTCCCAAGGACATAAATGCCCAATTTTCTCTTAAGCATTATAAAAATGCCAAGATGTCTCCATGTTGCTACAAAACCTCACTTTTCCAAGTGACATCTGAAGCAGTCAAACTCTGTATGCAGGGTTTGTAGGTACCTACAGCAGGATTTTTGCTTTGATTAATTATTTCATTTGCCATGAGTAAGAACAGAGAGGGTGAGGAAAAGAAGTGGCAAGTCCTCAACAGTGCAGTGAAGCAGAAGATGAGAAATCTCATTTTAATGAATGAGAACTGATAGCAAAATGTACATGACACGGAACACTGATCAGGGAAAAACAAAGGGGGCTGAAAGAGATCAGAGTGAGGCATATCAAATCACATATTGAAACAGATAAGAATACAGAAAAGATACCAGGGTAATAGGATACAATTCACTAGGAACAACAGTGCATAAGTATAATGAAATCATGAAGAGCAAATGCATTTTTTGAGACGTGAAAATAGTTTCATCACTCCAAAGTAAGGATTAAAAAAAAAAAAAGCAAAATCTCAATAATTTTGAATAACACATATCACTTTCTTTTAAACTTTTTAGAAGTCTAGAAATAGCTAAAATTTCTAATTTTAAATCATGGCAAGCCACAAAATAGGTAGTTTTCAATTCAACAGTTTCTAATTTCTTCTCCCAAACTAGAAAATTTATCAAACTAATCCTTTTCCCTTCCAGCACTTTTAATTAAAAAGAATTTCCACTCCAACATCTATCACAGAGCATAATTACACAGCTACTTAGATTAATTTCCGCTTGTTTAATTTTAAAATACTAATCAACATCCTTTGGACTTTCCTATAAAATTCTTATCCCCCATTCATATTTATAATCTTGTAATCCTTACAGACTATTATGATATCTCTCCTTAAATATTGCTTAAATTGTGCAGATGTAGTCCTCTCAGTTCCTTGGAAGACACTCACTTCAGGGATCTGTTTCTAATTCTTTTCCAGGAACACCCTCCTCAAATTTCTACTGCTGAACACTAGAATATATTAATATGAACACTGAATTGTTTGAACCTGCTGTACAAAAAAAGCAATACAAGGAAAGGAGGGGACTACACAGATCAGAGACACCGCATGTGTGATGCTCCCAGCACTGAAATTCTCAATAACTGTAGGTAGTTGGTTAGAGACATCCATAAGCAAAGCCTCACTCAAACAAAATTAATTGAAAGGTTTAAATTTTGGTGCAAAGAATGCCAGGCCATGTTTCTGTTTCTGAACGGCAGCTTGTCTCCTGGAAATCGGTGCATTTGACAAGCAAATATTTTTCATATACTTCCCTTTCGTGTT